TGAAATATTTTAAGAAATCATGCCTAGCAAAAACCCAAAATAAACTCATTATTTTATAGTAGTGAGTGCCCCAAATTTGGGACCATCCTTGGACTTGGACTGTTGTCCCTTGGTCTTCCTCCAGATCTCCTAATAGGAACTCAAGACCTTTGATTTCCACACCTGTCCCCTGTTCCTGTGTTGGAGCAACCACGCGCCTGCTCCTTCGGAAGAGACTGGCTAGAACATTGGGAAATGCCAGTGTCCAGATGGGCCCACGTGCACAGTCTAAGCTCCGCAAGTCCAGGATGGCCCTCTAACGGGACGGCATGCCACTAGCTTCTGGGGCCTGTGTGTCTCCCAGGGGAGCAAGAGGCTGGCCCCGACCAAGAGCAGTCACCCTCTGCACACATGTGCTTAGCTCAGGGTCTGTTAACAGCCGCTAGCTTCGATCGGGATTGCCTTTGGGAGCAAATACGGCAAGTTCCGAATGCACCCACACTTGAGTAGTTCTGATAGGGAAGTTCTTTTGTAATAATGTTTAGTCATTTTGTGATGAAATTGTATTATATGTTTGGCATCTAAAAACAAATATTTCAAAATATCTGTAATTCTGGTGTAGAGAGACAGCCATTTGAGGATAGAGTCAGCATATCTACATAAACACGCACACAAACACCCCCCATTTTATAATCTCGTTACTTCACTTACGAAGATGTTGTGAACCTTTTACTATGTTATGCAGTAACTTTTCTAGATCGTGATTTTGAAAAATTACACTGTATTCCGTTATACCTACTGATTTTAATCAGCCTCCTTTTCACGGGAGGTAATTAGGTTGTTGCTATTTTTTTAAAAAAGGTTTATTTATTTGAGAGAGAGCACACACACAGGGAGGGGCAGAGGGAGAGGGAGAGAGGCAGACTCCACTAAGTGCAGAGCCCAGAACAGGGCTCGATCTCACGACCCTGAGATCGTGACCTGAGCCAGAACCAAGAGTCACATGCTTCACTGACTGAGCCATCCAGATCCCCCAGGTTGTTGCTAATTTTTTGCCATTATGAAAAAAAACTGGAGTTCATTAGGTGCATAGAAATGCTGCCGTTGAAGCAGTATGGGGCAGTAGGCAGGCCTTGAAGACGCTCAAAAGATTCCTGTCCCCGGTACGCACACACCTTCTCCCAGTTATTCCCGTAACACTTTCAGGGAAAACGTGAAAGCCTTTCTGTTTTCCTTAAATCAGAAGGAAAAAAAAAAACACCCACCTTTCAAGCTGAGGAAAGTGCTTTAACATATCCTATGAGTGTACTGGTCTTTACACCAACACAGATGTAAAATGTAATTGTCGTATGGAGGGGGAGAGGCGCAGGACTGCGGAAGGGCCCGTGAAAGTCATGACCCAGCCTGAAACCACCTCGGTTAGAGACGCGGGCGTTTACCAATGATGGCACGCGTCCCCTTACCCTCGGCCCTGGATGTGGGGAAGCTGCTTTTGGAGGTGATTTCAACGGAGGGATGGCCTCCAGCTTCGGTTACTGGGAAGGGTTGCCGATCGCTGGTGATTTGTAGCTGCTGCCTCCGCTGCCTCTGCCCCCGCTGAGCTGGGAGGTGCCCCTGCCCCACCCCTTCACCTTCATCCACTTGCCTCCACACTTCCCTTCTTGTCCTGGGGTGAGTAGAAGTGGCCCGTTCCTCGAGTGTGCGTGTGAGGGATTCTTGGCTCCCAGGTCAGGCTCTCCAGTTCCCTTAGAGCATCGCCCCAGTAGGACTATGACGGGTCCACGCAGCCCCTCTGTGCTCTCACACCCCACCCCAAGGACGTGCACGCTTCCAGCATGCAAAGAGCAAGGGAGAGCACACCAGTCTGAGCAAGCAACTCTAGTCTGGCAATCAGAGGGATGACGTTTTGAAGGGGCACCATGCTTTGAAGCCTGTTAGCCAGGCACCCAGCCGATCCGCTTTCCAAAGGGTTGACTTTAGTGCCGCGGTGAGACGAGATGGGTCCCCGGCTCGCCCGGTGCCCCAGCCGGGACAGCTCCCAGCAACAAACTACTGGGAAGGCGTGATCTCCTCTAGGTAATTCTAAGACCCAGGAGAGAGTCCCTGTTTTCTTTGCTGTCAAGACTCGGGGCAGTGTTGCCCTATGTCACCTCAGTCTTCCATCCCACATGAACCCAGGGCTGCACGTTTACGTGGTCAGGGCCTCGTCTGCCGTGCAGCTTTGTCAGGATGCCTGAGGTTGGCATGTGTGTGGCCTGGTTCTTCTCTCTGACGTTGTGTTCCTTCTCCCAGTTGAGCGCCTTTCCCTCTGTTATGGACCAAACCGCGCCCCTCACATTCCTGTGTTTGAGTCCTAACCCCAGTCCTACAGAATGTAACTATATTTGGAGATAGGGCCTTTATTTTTATTTATGTATTTTTTTTTAAGGATTTTATTCATCCATTTGACAGAGAGATCACAAGTAGGCAGAGAGGCAGGCAGAGAGAGAAAGGGGGAAGCAGGCTCCACACCGAGCAGAGAGCCCGATTTGCGGCTCGATCCCAGGACCCTGAGATCATGACCCCAGCTGAAAGCAGAGGCCTAACCCACTGAGCCACCCAGGTGTCCCAAGATAGGGCCTTTAAAGAGATAACTTACAATCAATGTTAAAAAGATGTCATTGGGGTGGGCCCTTATTTAACATGGCTGGTGTCCTTCCAAGAAGAGGAGGTTAGGACACAGACACAGGAGGATGCTCTGTGAGGACACGGGGAGAAGACAGCTGTCTACGAGCCAAGGAAGGAGGCCTCTCCCAGCCCCTTGATCTCAGATCTCAGACTTCCAGCCTCCAGAACTGGGCGAAAGAGCATTTCTTGTTGTTGAAGCTACCCAGTTTGTGGTACTTTGTGAATGCCGACCAGTAGACTGACCCATCAGCCCACCACCCTTCTTACGCCTTGTGAAGAGTGGCAGCTAGAAGACCTGATTATGGTTCGGGCAGAGAAGAGTGAGATGGTCAGCAGCCATGGTAACAAGCCAAGATCCGGCTAACTTGGCTGCTCAGGGAACCCAGTGACCATGTCCAAAGGCTTTCGAGTTTGTTTGCTAACACTATTCTTGCTCCGTCACATGTCTTGCATCTTGTACACAATACAGTTGCTTTTTAGCTTGTTCGAGGGAATTTCCATGGGGTCCTGTTAAACTTTGCCTGCCCTGGGCCAAGTGAGCCAGTGACTGCCCCATACCCCAGGGAGGCCCTCGGAAGCCATGTGCGGTGTCATGGTTGGGCCTGAGGCATGCCCACGACACACCTCCCATTCCCTGGTGGGAACCTGGGTTTTGGACGGAGGATTTCCTTTTGAATGACACATGAGACAAACACTGTCTCTACGGCGGATTTCAGGGGACACAGTGCCCAGCGTGGGTACGAGGGGATTTCAGGTAGGCTCTCTGGGAGAGGTAGGTATGAATCCGAGCCTTAGGTGCAGAAACCCGTGGTGGTGGCCACAAGATTGGATGTTGCTGAAGGAGGGAAGACACGTTCTGAGAAATGGCCTGGCTCAGCCAGAATCACCCGTGATGTGTAACAGAAGCAGAGCTTGGCTGCTCTATCTCTGTGTTTTCTTCTCTATCAAAGAGATTTCTTCTGGGAATTGAGGTGGAAGAGCCACAGAGATTCCAAAATGAAATGTTGGGAGTGCTGCTGAGTTGTCTAAAAAGATGTTCTGTGTCATCAAGCCATTGCCGGCCAGGGCACAGGAAAGTAGGGTCCTCCATGAGGACATCTCAGGTGAGTGTCTGGAAAAGGATTAGCCCTCAGAAGACGAGCTTCTTTTGGAATTGGAGTCACATTTGCCTGCCTTCATCGGCCTCAGGAACATCAGAGCATGTGATCTAAGTCATCTGAGCAAGGCAGGGTGTTATGGACGGGACTGGGTCCTCCTGGGGCCATGTTGGTTTTTCGCAGCCGAGCATCATCGACTGTCTGCGTGGACAGACGTGCACTGGGCAGTTCTGTATGTCAGAGGACAGGCAGGGCTAACCTCCTTAACGACTGAGTGTCTGTTGTCCCCGGGGCCCCTGACTGGCACAGGTGAGCACCATTACCTGGTGAAGTGCTGCCAGTGAAGGCACCTAGAACATTCCACAAGAAGAACTCCTCTCCCTTAAGGAGAACAGTAGTTGGTGTCCGTATGACAGATTCTTCTTCCTGACTCGGTCCGTCACTGGGAGGCCTGCACCCTTCTTGAATCCGTTCCCATTTCCTGTGATTTTCCTCTTCGGTGATATTCCTGGAAGACGTTCATGGGACAAAGAGTGTAAGCATAGCTTGCTAATCCCAGCATGTCCTCTTTGCTGGTGAGTTTTTAATCCTTGATCCTGACTCCTCTTCTTCTCTGTGGTGGCTACTGTAGGGAAAAAGCCAGCAGTGGATGCAGACGCACTTTGTGAATTTAAAAAAAACCCCTGAGTGACTCAGTTGGTTAAGTGTCTCTTGGTTTCAGCCGAGGTCGTGATCTCAGGGTCGTGGGACTGAGCCGTGTTGGGCTCTGTGCTGAGCGTGGAGCCTGGTTCAGTTTCTCCCTCTGCTCCTCTCACTCCCCCCACCCCACAAAAAACCCACAACTGTATTCAAATGGAAAGTACACGGACGAGTTGATCCTTACAGGTGAGGTCGTCTTAAACTATCGTCTCTCATAAACTGAAGTCCCTCCCGTGCGTGCTTCCCAGTGGGGGGTGTGTTTGCATGGACCTTGTTGCCAGATTCGTTGCTCGTCATAGTTTGACATTTTTCTTCTTTACTTTGACATTTCCAAACCGGAAAGTCGTGGGCAGAGCCACTGCCGCCTCGACTGTGGGGTGGCCTTGGGGGCGACCGGGAGCCTCCGCAGGCCGAGGAGGTGATGATGGGTTAGGGGCTGTGGAACCAGTGGCTCAAGGGAATGGTGGCTTTCCCACCCGTTTGGGGCCCAGCGAGGGCAGTCTGGGCCCCAGCCTGGCACCGCACGAGCTCCCTGACCGCTGTGTGTTTCTGTTCCAGATCTACGTGCACCTGAAGGACGGCGGGGGCCCCGATGGGCTGGACGCGCTGAAGAACAAGCCGCAGTTGCACAGCGCGGTGGCCCGGAGCCTGTGCCGGAACGCGGCAGGCAAGAACTACATCATCTTCACGGGGCCCAGCATCACCAGCCTGACCTTGTTCGAGGAGCTGGAAAAGCAAGGTTGGTTGTGTGGCGCGCCGGTGCCGGCGGGCCCCCTGCCCCCCGGAGAAGTGGTGGGGAGGCCTAGGGGTGCAGGTGCGAGGTCGTGACCGGCAAGGACCGTAGGCCGCCATGGCCAGGAGGGAACACGGTTTCAGCCGGCCGAGTGCCCGCCATGTACCTGGACCCCGCCGGGCACCAGAGATTGGAAGGGACACCTGCCACGGGCTCGCGCTCTGCCCACGGCACCTTTGTGTCCTTTCTTGTGAGACTGTGGCTGTTCAGGGCTTGTCCTGGTGTCCTGGTCCATTCGGGCTGCTCTCAGCTTATAAACTGCAGGCAGTTAACCTATTTCTCGTGGTTCTAGAGCCCAGAAGTCCAAGGTCAGGGCGCCGGCACGGTCGCCTGAGGACCTCTTCTGGGTTGCAGACCGCAGGTGACAGAAGCGGCCAGGGGGCTCTCTGGGGGTCCCTTTTCTCAAGGTCACTCCTCCCATTCATGAGGGCTCCACCCTTGTGACCCCGGCCCCTCCCAGAGGCCCCACCTGGAACACCCTCCTCTGGGGCCTGCGGCTTTCAGCCAAGGAATTTGGAGGGGGACACACGCACTTGCTCTGTGCACCTAGACACCGGTCCTACGGAGGCTCTCCAGTCTGGACTCAGCCCCGTCTGCAATGAGGGCCCTGCGGTTGACAGGGACGATGCAGGGATTTATGCAGATTAGCACAGGCTACTGTGCGCTGGGTCTCGGGAAATTCTTCGTGGCCCTTGGTGCCGGGATGCTTTGTTCATCGGTTCGTGGCTCTGGCAGAAGCGGCCGCTGGAGAAAAAGATCTGGACCGAGACCAGGAGCCCAAGGGCGAGCTGCTTACTCTTTGCTTCGTCCCACATTTTGGGGATTTATATCAAGTCAGGAGAGACAGAAAAAGCCTCTGTCCTGCCGTGGCAGCTACTAGAATCGCAGACCTATTGCTTAGCAATGGGTCGCACATCTGGCCTTAAAATCCTCTCGAGTCACGGGGAGCCAGCAGCTTCTGACCTTGACCTTGGCCACGGCGAGGAAGCAGCAGCCCTGGGACTCTGAGCTCTGCTGGGTCTCAGTCCTCTGTGAACCCCGACAGGGCTTGGGGTTTACCTGTGGGGAGAACTCAGGGTGCAGAGGTCAGACTATGCAAAGAGGGGCCGTGGAAGTCAGGTTGCAGAGAATTGGCCCTCATGTGTTACCAGCCACCTGGGAAGAAGGATGGGCTCCCACGGTAGGCGGTGTGGTGAGAGCCCGGGCTGCCATCTCCGTCCCCCTGCCCGCCCGCTCCAGTCCTAGGGTGGGCGCGTGGACAGGAAGGCCCGGGGTCCCTGGAACTGTCTTGGGGTGGACATGCAGGGCCGAGGGAAACATGCACATGGGGTACAGAATGTTTCAGATCACTGACGATACAGTGTCAGTCTTCAGTGACCTTCAGTCTTTGACTGAAGACCGGGAGGACGAGACCGTCCCCAGCGACTTCAGTCAGAAGTGTCTGCGGGCATCCGGACCGGAGCTGGCCGCGGGGAGAAGCGGGCTTCCCAGGACCCGCTCGGTGGAGCAGGCTTGCATGTGCGAGGGGAGGGCCAGGCAAGGCCTCGAGCCCAGGGCAGAGTTCCAGGGGGCCTCCTTGTGCACACTGGCCTGTGCTTACCATCTCTCCTGCCCCATGGAAGCTTCTGTGTGTGGAAGGCCACACTGCCACTCCTCCCTTTAGTGGCTCTGTGTTCAGAGGCAGGACCCTGGCTTGGTGCATGTTGCTCGATGGTTCTTTCCTCTGGGGTTAACTTGTCTCCAAGGGGACGGCGGCTCCGTTTTGCACGCTGCCTCCAGGTGCCATGCAGACGAGCACCCGTCTGGGCCTGGGGCTCCTTGGGTCTTGGCCAGAGTGTTAGGGGGGTCCTGAGTGTGGTCAGGCTTGGACAGCAGACAGACCTGGGCTTAGTCCTTGCCTTTGCCCTCCTTGCTGGGAGCCTGGGGACTTCTGGAGCTGCAGTCCGTCTTCAGTGTGGGTGGGATAACCTGAGTGCAGAAGTTTCTAGAGGCAGGTGGGACAATCAGTGTTCACACTCAGCACCGTGCCTGGTGCGTCGTGAGTGCTCGCGACGAGACTCCTGTGGTACTGCCGATTCATGGCGCCTGTGATGGTCTCGCGTGTCATCTTCAAGGTCCTTAGAGAAGTCCTCTGGGATAGAAGTCGTGAACTGTAGCGGTCTCCCCTACGGGACTTCTAGGCGGCCCGTCCTCCCAGCGTGTCAGCCTCAGAGCCAGACAGTCCCTCTTCGGTGCCGGCGTGCGCGGGTTGTCTGTGACCGTGTGGACCCAGTTTTGTGTCCCTGTCCCTGCAGAGATCTACTGCTGTGGCCTGCTCAGCTCCAGGAAGAGCGACTGCACCGGCCTGCCCCTGTCCATGCTGACCAACCCGGCCACGCCTCCGGCCCGGGGCCAGCACCGCATCAAGATGAAGGGCAACATGTCTCTGATCTGCTGGTACAACAAAGGGCACTTCCGCTTCCTGACCAATGCCTACTCGCCCGTGCAGCAAGGTGGGGGCTGGCGGGGGCTCTGGGCCGCCCTGGAGTCGGGAAGCCCCCGTTCCTCGGCCACGTCTGTGCTGGGGTCGGGGCGGGGCAGGGCAGCAGGAGCCACCTGGGCCTGCAGGCTGCCATCCCCAGGCTTTTTAGCTGGGAGGGAAGCCACGACGGTGGGATTTATGTGTCCCCTAGCTTGTGTGTGGCCGCTGTGAGTGGCCGTGTCCGAATGGCATGTCCCCCATCACCTGCCCATTAGGATTCTCTGAAGAATCTTCTCTAATGAGAGGAGAGATACCGACTGTTTTATCCCTTCGGTGTCTTCCTTAGAGGTTAACCATGGGCATTGTGGGGCGTTCAGGCGATTCCATCGTTAATGTCACATGGGGTTTAGAATCCATTTGTAGCAGAGGGATTTAGTGAGCAAGGACTCTAGAGTTCAAGTCACTACAGCTGAAAGACTTTTAAACTGCTGACAAGGAACCGGAAAGGACTGAGGCACTTGACAGAAATATCTGTGGTTACAGGGTGTGTTTGAAAATCCTCTATATTCCTTTGATTAAGACATCTTTTCTCTTTACTTCGGAAGGACCTCCACAAGGAGCTCCGTTGTGTGTGTGTGGGGGGGAGGGGTGTGTGTGTGTGTGTGAGAGAGAGAGATACATATGTGGTCTGTACACGTGTGATGTGTGCGTTTGTGGGGGGTGTGCTTAATTAACTGCTGTTCGTTTATTCCTGCTCCTCACCCCTGGCACACACACCTACATCCCAATTCAGTGGAGACTGGAATCTGGGGATACAAGCTCGAGGGACTTAGGTGTAGAGAGCTATAGAAAGCTGCCAGCTTCTCCAGGGCTGTGCAAAGGGCACTTAGAGGAAATGTTTGGAATTGACCTTGCAAGCCAAAGGTGAGACTTTGAGCTGGACTTCTATACTCTCCTGATGGGGCGAGAGCATTCACAGGGAGAGCGTTCAGGAAGACAGTGTAGGAGCTGCCTCCCGCCAGGTTATGCATAACAGATTATAAATTACGCAATGTGATTTAAGATGACAGAACCTTAAAACCCCAATCTCAAGGGCTAGGAGCCTTAAATCCGTCACCAAGGAACCAGCAAAGAAGATGTTGATCGGGAAGAAGAGAAAATTGGTAGGATTGGTCTTTAAATATGCCAGAATTTAGTGTTTGTGTTTCCTTCAGTTATAGTTTCCATTTCTAAAGTACTCTAAATCACAAAGTCCTGGGGCACCTGGGTGGCTCAGTCGGTGAAGCATCTGCCTTGGGCTCAGTTCCTGATCCTGGGTCCTGGCATGGAGCCTCGCATCGGGCTCCCCGTTCGGTGGGAAGCCTGCTTCTCCCTTTCCCTTTGCCCCTCCCGCCTCATGTTCTCTCTCTCTCTCTCTCTCATGCTCTCTCCAACAAATAAAATCTTTAAAAAAATTTCACAAATTCCCAAATCTTAGAATCCCTTAAAAATCCCAGGGAGTATGCCTCAGCCCTCTGACAGCACCCCCAGGAGCACTTGGAGGCAGGGGAGGGGGTGTGGAGAGCCCAGGCTGGGTGTCCCGCCTCTCCTCCCCACGGGACATCCTTTAACTAGTCTACATCTTCAGGTGATTTTTTTTTTTTTTTTTTTTTTTTTTTTTTTTTTTGGTAACAAAGGGAGATATTTTCCTTTCAGTGTACTTAAAAAACATGATTTTTTAAAACCACTTAGTATTTCATTTTCTTTTTTTTTTAAACCACTTAGTATTTCATTTTCTTCCTTTTTTTTTCTTTTTTCTTTCTTCTTTCTTAAAATTTTAAGATTTTATTTATTTATTTGACAGAGAGGGATCACAAGCAGGCAGAGAGGCAGGCAGAGAGAGAGAGTGGGGAAGCAGGCTCCCCACTGAGCAGAGAGCCTGATGCAGGGCTCGATCCCAGGACCCTGAGATCATGACCTGAGCTGAAGGCAGAGGCTTAACCCACTGAGCCACCCAGGCGCCCAAGTATTTCATTTCTTAAATGTCATCATTTTTCTGCCTCCCCCCGATTCATAATCCATTTTCTTCACAATATGAATAATGATGATAGTGATTATCTCCATACATTGGGGAACATCTTTGATCCTTTCCTCAAAATGAAGCTGGGAGTGCAGTGGCCGCCCAGAGGTCTGAGCATCTGGAGGACCTTTGATGATGTGTCGCCCAAAGACCGCACTTAACCCCTGCGATGGGCTCTGGGGAGACCAACACTCCTCCTGAGTTTCCCAACACATTTCCCCCCCCAAACTTGTCAGTCTGGGGGATGAAAATGCTACAGAATTTTCGATCTAAATTGCAGGACCACTGGTGGGGTTGAGCATCTCTGTGTATTTGCCTCCAGTTTACAGTGATTTCTTCGTATTCTCAGTTTGTCCTTTGAAGCACTTGTTGAAAGCTTATGTTATGCTATAGCAGGTATTTTTCTGCATTTGTTTTACTTTTGCTTTTATTTATGACTGGTATTTTTTAACCTAAAATTGCGTTTCCTTCTGCACGGGCAGATCTGTTAGTCACGCTCTTTGTTCTAAAACTTCTTGCTCTGGGCCAAGGCTGGATAAAGGCTAAGATCACCTGCTTACCATACAGCCTGACTCTCCGCTCTTCCCAGTAACCCACTATCAGCTGGATTTTTACTGTTTTGGTTTTTTTAAAATTAAGTGTAAAGAGTGGCCTGACCAAGTGGTCTTGCCTCCATGCCTGAACCACTTACAGAAAAACTCTTCTACTTTTTAAAAATATCACTCAGAAGAGGAAGCCTCAAATATTGGAAAGACTGCCTCTCAGCTTCATACTCTTTCCTGCTGTGATCATAGATGTACGCGCTCTTCTAAAAGTTGAGAATTTCTAATTTTAGAAAATAGACAACCAGTCAGGAACATTCTAGGAATCGGTTTCTTATTCCTTCTGGATTCTAAGGAGAAACGTCCCTTCCTTCAGAGAGTGCGAGCACGGTCACTGGCTTCTTAGAAATCCCATATCCAGGGACATCCATCCAGAGGACCCAGCCATCCTGCTCTCTTTCTGAAGTCTGTTTTGGAGCTGTCCTCTTCCTACCAGAGCCTTTGCCCATGTGGGGTTCAGACTCCACGGGACCCACGCACATACAGAACGTGCATATGGGACTGACTCGGGGCCTGACTCATTCAGCCTCGCGGGGTGGTGGAAGGAACGTCAGCACACCGCAGGTAGTCTAGGGAGGTGAAGGACAGGACTGCCACTGCGCGTGAGCACACATGTTTCACCGGGTCAGACAGATCGTGGGGTGCCGCGGAGGTACGTGCGTAGAGCACAGCTAGGCACGGAGACTGGCACACAGCCGTGACTGTGTGGGGCCCGCCCAGGGCGACGTCAGCAAAGCCAGTAAATGTCACACAACCTCTTGTCAACGTGTCCCATGGCCGGGCTTGTTGGTGCTCAGAGAAGGATATTACGGAACAGCAGCCCCACCCTTTGTAGCTGGAACAGTGTCTGAGAATCCACAGTACTGCCAGGGACGGGGTGATTTACAAAGTGGGGGAAGTGCTCAAGCAGATGGGCGCAGACCCAGGCCTTGAAGCCGCCTCTCTGCTGAGGTTTCCAGCAGAGCCTCACCGAGTGGATGGGGAGGGAACGAAGGGCTGGAGCAGGCCGCCTGGGGCTGGGGAAGCTGGGACGGGGCAGTCCAGGAATTACAGCCCCAGCGGTCACCCAATCTCAAGTTCTCCAGGCCACTTCTTGGTGTGAAAAACCAGTATCGGGGGGCATGGCTGGGGGACAGGGACCAAAAGAAACAGAAAGACCCCCGCTCAGGGCTCAGTCCGTGCAAATGGGTCCCTGCATGCTGGTGTCCCGTGGTCCCTTGGTGAGAGGGTGGGAGACACGCTAGGTGGAGGCCCTCAGGCCCGCAGGGGACCTCCTCTTGTACTTCAACTCTGTCCACTCAAGTAGTCCCCAAACTTCCCAATCCTTCAGACTGATCCCTTTAAAAAATATATATATATACACACCAAAAAATGGCTTTTGTCATAATCCCGTGATGCTGTGTGGGGAGGCTAGCTGGAGGAGATGGCAGCAAACCCCAGCCTCACCTGAGCGTTCTCTCACATCTCCTGTGTCACCTCTGGACGGCAGCTGTGGGCCTGTGGGTGGGTCTGAGAAACGAGGTCGTCCCGCAGCAGTTCGGGCAGCGGGGTGAGGAGGGCTCACTGATCTCCTGCTCCTCATACCCGGTCAGTGGGAGGGGGTAGGGTCAGCCTTCATGTGGGGAGGGGGGATGAGGGGAGAGTCAGTCCTGCACCTCCCCTTTGCTCTCTGAAGGCCCAGCCAGGTGCTTCGCCCTCCCTGGTGCCACGTAAAGCCACCTTTGGTCCCGTCATCGCCCCACGTGCCCGCAGCACCCCTGCACACCCACCTCACTTTATGTTGTCCTCAAGTCCCCGGAAGCTTTTAGGGACTGGCATCCAGCTTCTCTGTCTCCCCCTCCCCGTTGGCTCCCTGGGGGGCCAGGCAGGGTGGAGATACGCACCTGTGTCCGCGGGCATGGGCAGGAGACCGTGCGGACGGGGGTGTGACCTTCTGTCTTCTCTGCAGGGGTGATCATCAGGAGGAAGAGTGGGGGGATCCCCTGCCCCTTGGCCGTGGAGGCGTTCGCTGCTCACCTTAGCTACATCTGCAGATACGATGACAAGTACAGCAAGTGAGTGCGTGGCGGCTCGCAGCCACGGGAGAGCATGGACTAGAGGTGGCCGGGTGCTCAGGAGTCCCCCGTTCCAGAATGAACAGAGCAGGCCCCTGGGAGACAAAATCTCAAGCCCTCGTCCTGGCCATCGGGGCACCCTGTCTCCTTCCCCGCCACCCTTGCCCGAGGTGGCCGTCCTTCCACTCGGGTGTGGCCATCTCTTAGTACTGGGCCCCGAGCCTGCCCCCCAGCCCCCCCCACCCCAGCCAGACTGCCCTTCCCCCGTCCCTCACAGCTGCAGCCCGTTTCCCAGCGCAGGTTCGTAATTCTTTCCCCTCTGGATGTCCGCAGCAGGTGCACACCCATGGCACCGTAACAGGAACCCAAGGAGCGATTGCTAGTGAGCCTGAGTGTGACTGTTAATTGCCAGGATTGAGCCTCACAACCCAGAACAGAGTTGGAGTAACCCCCAGGACAGGCGGGTGTTGACTCAGCCCACTTGGAGGGGAACCCGCTGGGCTTCTTCACGCAGAGAGAAAACCGAGGACCCAGTTCTCCCCGGGCTCCCTCGCAGGGGAGCCCCACTCCATGGAGAGTCCATGAGCCAGTGTTCACGGCCCGCAACCTGCTGATTCCACACGGTTCCAACAGAGAAACCCGTTTTGACTTAACAGACACGTTAGGGACCACACTGGGCTGCTGGCAGTAAGCACACTGACCTTCAGACACCCCTCAGGTGCCGAGTGACGGGGACACAGTGCAGGGAGCAGTCCTGAGTTGGGTTGGCCCTGGAGGTGACATCCATCCTGGATCTGAAGGGAAGCCGGGGGTGGCAAAGAGACGTGCACTCGGGAGGAAGGGGACACGTTACAGATGCCTGCAGCTGAGGGTGAACTTGCCCTTGGGACGTGCAAGCAGTCAGTGTGCCCGAGACATGGCATCCGAAGAGGGCTCTAGGCAAAGAGGGCCGCCCCTCGGGCCCTGTTCCCTGGGAGCTTCTGAGCCTTGCCGTGGAAGGCCTGCTCCCCGTTCCAGCATCTCCAGCGACCCCCCACCCCAGTCCTCTGATAGGAGCAGTTTTCATCTTCTTAGTCTTAGGTCAAGTTCCCTGTGACAGCCTTGGCGGGAGCCGGCCCCCGGCCAGCTTCCCACCCTGTGGCTCCGTGGCAGCACTGACCGTGATGAGGCCCTTTGGGACCACCCCCCCCCGCCCCGCCCCACCCCGGGTGCCCGTGAGCCCTGGGGTCAGCCTCTCCGACTCCTCTGTCCTCGTAGGTATTTCATCTCTCATAAACCGAACAAGACCTGGCAACAGGTGTTCTGGTTCGCCGTCAGCATTGCCGTCAACAACGCCTACATCCTCTACAAGATGTCTGATGCCTACCACGTGAAGAGGTACAGCCGGGCTCAGTTTGGCGAGAGACTGGTGAGGGAGCTGCTGGGCCTGGAGGAGGCCTCCCCCACCCACTGATGCCGCCGCGGCCAGGCTTAGGGGAGGACCAGGGCCGGGAGCCTGGAGGAGGGAGAGAGGCTGCCGTTCTGACCTGCCCAGCCAGAGCCCTGGGGCGCCCCTGGGGGGTTGGGCCTGGCCCACTGGGGAGTCCCGGGCCTCCGCAGGGCCCAAGGTGGGCCTGGTCAGACGATGGCTGCTGTCCCGGTTCCCCTTCAAAGAAGAGCACGTCCTCCTTCCAGAAGCCGCTGCCCACCCAGGGCCGGGGCCGCACTCAGACTCTACACGCGGGCCGGGCGCCGTGGGTGGCCTTTGCCCAGCGGGGCACCACACCCCTGTGACCCCCGTGGAGCTCACCTCAGAACGGGGGACTCGGGAAGGCTGTCGCCACCGGAGGCGCCGGTGGTGGGAGGAGCCGTAGTGTGTCCTGCTGGAAAGGCCTGCGCTGGGAGGAAGTCAAGACACAGGTGACCTGGTTCCACCTCGTGCCTCGTCTGCAGGGGACCAGAAGCAAGCCGGTGGCGCTCAGGCGGCCGGGCAGGAGACCAGAGTGTTCTCCAGCACTCGCCTTGGGCAAGTCTCCTGGAACGAGAAGCGCGGGGGCCGTGAGACACGGGGTGGAGTGGGCAGCGGCTCCCCATTCTGGCCGATCAGGGAGGCGTCCCTGCGCGTTTCACTTCTCTGGCTGGTGGCCGGGGTGGGGGTGGGGGCGGGAGGGGAAGGGAAAATGCCGACAGAACCGCAGTGATGTGTGATGCTATTTTTTATTTTTAAATATATCTTCAGGTTATTTTCTTACTGTTGCTTAAGCTCTTCTGTAAAAGGAAAACGTCCCCCTCCTTTTCCGCCCCCTCCCCGCCCCCACCCCAGCCGAGACTCCCTGCATGAGCATGGTTCCGGGCCCTGGGACTGTACCGGGGCGAGAGGGGGCGGCCGGCTTCCAGAACAGACGCGGTTCCACTCTGCCGAGGATCACGGGGGGCCTGTGGGCCTTACGCTTTGTCACAGACGTCACCATCGGCGAAAAACCTGTTAGCGTCCCAGAAGCAAATGACAGAAGGTCTGGGGAGGACACTTGCTGCTTCTCCCCACCCCCACCACGTGAGGTGACCGGCGGTGTCAGCCCGGGGCTGGCACACCTGAGCCACAGCATCTGGGCCCTGTGGGAACGCAGGTCTGCGGGTCTCCGTGGGAGGCCTCGCCCGGCCGGCCCACTGGTCTGTCCATCCGCCCCCAGATGAGAAACAGCGATTTCCAGAATTACACGACCCCCCCCTTGCACCCCAATTTATGTAGCTCCCTCGTTTTTTTACAAGTGCGAAATCTCTTCTACTCAGGCTTTGGGACTTTGTTGTTTGTTCACACTCAGCTAATTGCCAGCGTGGCTGACAGCATGCTCCCGACTCCGCGCCATCCCCGTGTCCCGGGTTCCTGAGGACCCCCGCGCCCTGTGGTTGGAATTCGATGCCACGGATTGTAGGCCCCATTCTCAGTTGTGTTTCAGAACACCTTCACCGTGTCCTTTGATTGGATGGAAAGCACTTTTACCACATGGAGAAATATATTTTTAATTTGTGACGCTTTTCTACGAGGTCCACTCTTTCTGAGTCTAATGTGTTTCCAACACTTGGGGAGACTCTGATGAAAGCTGATGAATTTTCTTTTCTGTCCAAATAAGTAAAAGAAAAAAATAAAAGTCTATTTAGATGCTGATTCTTTGTTGACATGCGGATTGCTTTCCAACATCAGGGACAAAAGTACCGGCTCCTTTTTTAAAGACTCGACTTCTTACCGGGTCATCTAGAACATACAGTCTTGAACTGTTGTTAGTATCCTTTGTCTCTGAGCAGTTTAAAAAAGAAATGCAGTTAAGCCTTTTTTTTTTTTCCCAAGATTTTATTTATTTAGGGGAACCTGGGGGCTCAGTTATTAAGCCTCTGCCTTTGGCTCAGGTCACAATCCTGGGGTCCTGGGATCGAGCCCTGAGTTGGGCTCTCTGCTCGGTGGGGGAGCCTGCTTCTCCCTCTCCCTCTACCTCTCCAACCCGCTCATGCTCTGTCTCCCTCTCCCTCTCAAATAAATAAAATATTCCCCCAAATTTTATTTATTTGACAGGGGGAGAGCGCACAAGCTGGCCCTATGAGAACGTTGTATTCTAGGTGCCCAGGGGAAAATCTGCACCTGCCTGCCAAACGGGCTTCCTCCTTGTTTCTTCTGGTCGCCGTCATCATCCACACCCACCAAGAGAGGCGCCGTTGGGACGGTGGGTGGGTGACTCTGCCTTGCCAAGTAATTCTAGGGGACTTAGGTTTTACGTGGTAGCCCCTGTTTTCAGACGAAGGCTCGAAGCAGACAGCAACTTCTAGTGGAGCCCCTGCAGGTTGGGAAGTTTCTGTCCTTCTGGAAGGAGGACAGAGTGACATGGAGTACTGATTAGGAAAACCCGCAGCCAGGGGCACCTCGCCCCACCGATGATGTGAAGCCGAGAGCCATGGGGAATCACTCCAGTTCAACCCACCTGGCTCCTGTGTCCCCCTGGGTTTGAAGCCCTCAGCCTGACCTTGGACGGGCTCCTTTAGCAGCTGGCCCACTGCTGGTGCCAGGGGAAGGGCCCAGAAAGTGGCTGTCAGCAGAGGGGGAGCCGGCACAGTCCCGGCAAAGGCGGGGAGGCAGCAGGCACCCGTGAGTCCCTGCCCAATGAGACCTTTCTACCTGGGGCCTGCTGTGGCGGCGTCAGCTCCCTGGGGGGACGGCTTTGCTGCGGGTCTCAAAATGAAAACCAGAGCAAGGAGCTTCCTGACCCTTGTGGAAAACAAAACAAAAGCCTTGAAGCTTCTCCAGAGAAAAGCTCTCTTAGACCAAGTGCACTGAGCTTTCGTGTGGTCCAGGTCCCAGACCCAGGACGGCGGCCGTACTCAAGAGTTGGGTAAGGTGAGCCTTCGGAGATTAAATTTTTTGAGGACTAGTGCATTTTATAGAAAGACGGCCAAGACAAGGGAAAGAGCAGCTAAAATCTCATCTTCCCAGTGAATGATTTTTTGGTACCACTACTTTTGTTGAAGTTGTGAACCTTTCTTATTTAAATGAGGTGGGACATTAGGAGTTAAGGAGAGACGAGAGAACCAAATGCGGGCTTCTGTTCTGTTCTGTTCGCCTTCCCGATCAGTTTCTTTATTTCATTCACCTTGTCTCTTCTCCCCCCCACTCTGTGGCCCCCAAAACCTCAGTTTTGAACAAGGTCTGACTGTGGTCAGTGGAACATTATAATACGAAGGCCCTATTTCCAAACTCTGGTGAGTCACGTTGGAAAACCTTGGCGTCTGGATCATTCTCGGCAAAGACTTTGGTTTCTTGGCTCCGTCAAGCAAGGCCCAGCCGCCAGAATAGAATAAACTCTACAGCTGTTGTAGAGAAGAAGACCGCAGGTGCCAGGACGGGGACAGGAAGGCTCTGGTCATCGTGCGTGGCTGGGCAGTGCCGTTGTCCCTGGGAGCCCGGCCTCAGCACTGGGCAGTGAGGGTAGCGGGCAGACCCCGTGGGCACAGCAGCCCACACCTCCTGTGAAATGTGGGGCACTTACCCTGGCATAGGGCTTGGCTTGTTCCAGAAAGGACTCCAGATATGGCTTGGCTTATTCTGGAAAGAACAGAACCAGCCTCCTCAGAATACTGGACCCAGACTGATTCTGACCCAAAATTGCCAATTTGCCATGCAGCCAGTTACACGGAAGTGTCTTTGGAAAATGCTTGCCCCAAGAGCCAAGGATACATGAGTATTTCTGGAAAGCATGGCACCACGTGTGAGCAACAAGTTAAAAGTGGTCCCAGCTCTACCAGAAGTCATAACCCAGCAGGAAGAAAGTTTCTTAGCTCTTAAGCACCAACACTCAGCTACGCCATGTTTCTTCCTTCCTTGCCCTTGTGGCTTACACTTAGTTCTATTTTCTCCAGGGGAATAGGGTCCTGCCCTCTTTTTCCAGCCTGACAGCTGGTGTGAGGGTTCTCTTGTCTCTCCTTAACTCCTAATGTCCCACCTCATTTAAATAAGAAAGGTTCACAACTTCAACAAAAGTAGTGGTACCAAAAAATCATTCACTGGGAAGATGAGATTTTAGCTGCTAACTCTTTCCCTTGTCTTGGCCGTCTTTCTATAAAATGCACTAGTCCTCAAAAAATTTAAAATAGTACTACCAGGGGTGCCCTGCCTGGGTCTGTTAGCTGAGCACGTGACTCTCGATCTTAGGGTCGTGAGTTCAAGTCCTATGTTGGGCATAGATATTACTTTAAAAAAACAAAACTGTACTCCCATATGATCTAACAATTCCTGTCTGGGTATTTATCCAAAGAAAACGAAAACTTTAATTTGAAAGGGTGTGTGCAGACCCATGTTCGTTGCAGTGTAATTTACAACAGCCAAGACATAGAAGCAACCTAAGTGTCCATCAGTGAATGAATAGATTTTAAAAATGTGGCGCATACGTGTGTGTGTGTGTGTGTGTGTGTGTATAATGGAGTATTACATAGCCTTTAAGAAGGAAGGAAATCTTGCCATTTGTGGCAACAGGGATGGACCTCGAGGGAATTATACCAGATGAAACAAGACAGAGAAAAAGTAAACATGTATGATCTCTCTCATATGTGGAATCTAGAAAAATATATTTATATATATATAATTAAGCTCATAGACCTAGAGGTCTAGATCATAGAACTAGAGACCTAGGTAGTTGCTAGAAGTAGGGGACGGAAAGTGGGAGTGAATTGCCTTTTTTTTTTTTTTTTCAGTTAGATTGATACCAAAAAACCAAAAATGCATCAGAGTTCTATAATTGAGAACTTCCTCCCGGTGAATAGAATGTAGGAGGAATGAACGAAAGAAGGAAGTAGGGGCTGTGGTTTCTTGTACTGCAATAGACTAGAGAGAACAGAACAGTTGCACACATTTTTTAGGTGTAAATTTAAGATCCGGAGTTGTGGGATTGTGGGAATTTTTTATGGAGGCATTTTTGCAGTCACTTTCATACATTTCAACCTAATGCCATTATAGTTCATTGTGGCTTTTTAAAGTGTGTCCACTTATCAGTACTTATCAGTAGAAGGACGGTGCCCAAAGTGGGACAAATGCTCTACTCGATCCTGTGCCAGTC